CAGCCCTCTCCACACTGCCCTGTCTCCAGGTTCTGGTAACCACACTTCCCTCTTGCCCTGTATGGCCTGGGGGTCTTGCTCTGTCCCTTGTGACTTCCCTCCACGCTGCCACACCTTTGTAAATTGCCCCTTTATTATACTCTGGCTTCCAAGTGTGCATGTGCCCTCTGTTTCCTACTGGGCCTGACTGATGCCCATGCCCTGAGCTGCTTGGCCCCCAGGGGCCGCATGGTGGCCAGCTTCCCGAGCAGGAGATGCTCTGCAGGCGGGCTGCAGGGCACAGGGTGCAACACCTCACAGGATGGTTATCCTAGACTTTTGTAGTTCACGGGACTGTTTTCTGGCACAGAGCGGTAAGGTGTCTTGAAGGGGTGCTGTTTCCTCATTGGCATAGGCACTTGAGAGCTAGCCTCCGGGCTCAGCCGGGAGCTGGGCGGGAGCAGATGGGCCCCATGGGACTCAGAGCCAACACTGCCCTCCCCCATCTATCTCAGTGATGTGTCACTGCCAGCGCAGGGGCTCCCAGCTCCTCCTCGGGCAGGAGTGCCACCTCCACGTCTACGAGCAGGGCGGGGTGGCTCAGGTAAGGACCCGGCACCCCTCACCTGGGGCCAGCACAGGCTGCTCAGCATTTCTGGTGGGAACCTGCTTCCCCGGCATCGTGTTGGGACCTGCAGAGCGAAGAAATGGCCGGGGTGGTGGCGTCTCTAAGGAAGCGGGAAAGGGAGCCATTCCCAGATTGACCACGTGGGGGCACCCGCGGCCCAGCACCCCTCCATCAGACACCGGCTGTGCTTGGTGCTCTGCTGCCCCCTAGTGGGCATTCGGAGCACGCGGCGCTCGGTGGGGAAGGGCCCGCATCTCGGGAGAACACAGTCCTTGGTTCCTCCCCTTCTTGCTGGGATGTCCGCGCCGACGTCCGCAGCACAAGGGGAAGGCTCGATGGCCCCGAGCTGGAGAGGAGCCGATGGGACAGAGATAGGAGGTGACGCTGCGCCCCCGGACCTGAGCTCCATCCCTCCTCCCCCAATACCTGCAGATCGCTGGGGTGCACTCCCACCCCCTCCCAGACCTGCCCCATGGCACCTTGGACCTGGCTGAGCTGGAGAGGGTGGTCACACGGGGCCTCGGGAGCCCCTACCACCCGGTCTGTGAGCTCATTTGCCTGGAGAACACCCACAGCAGCTCGGGGGGCCGGGTCCTCCCCATTGACTACCTACGCCAGGTAGGCCCTACCCCACCTCTCTGCCCACCCCCCACCGGGCCCCAGCCAGCTCCTGGCTTCCTGTCCTCTGCAGCCCATCTCCGGGGACTGTATCTCCTCATATACACCGTGGGTGCCCGCGGCAGCTGGAACTGCGGTGGGAAGGACGTGCGTGGTCGGTCCTAGGCTGCAGATACGGAGGGCCCTACTGCCCCAGTTTAGGCCCCAAGGACAGAGACAACCCCCCTTCTCCCCAGGGAGCGAGTCCCAGAGCAGCCCCAGCTTGTGCAGGGTGTGAGGGCTGAATCGTGCGGCTCCCTGGTGTGAGAACTTGCTGCTAACTGACCCTGCAGACCTACTCCTTGCCCATGGGAAGGGCTGAGAGCATCTCCCTCACGGAGCCATGGGGTGGCTTAAATAGGATGCGGCATCTATGGCTCGCGCCACATCAGCATTTGGCCGCAGCAAGCCCACCGTACACATGAGGTAAAACGCTTAGCATCAGCCCCCTTTACAGAGGATGGCACCCAGGCTCAGGCAGCAGAGTGCCTGCTTTGGTCCCAGGGGGTCAAGCTGGACACCAGCCCAGCTCTGCTCACTCTAGACCCCTCGAGGCCCCTGGAGACCCGTCCTCCCTCCGCTCTGGCCCCAAGCCCAGCCCCTCTGACTGCTGCTTGCTCTTTGCCCCCAGGTGCGCCTCCTGGCGCAGAGCTACGGGGTCCGGGTCCACCTGGATGGGGCCCGGCTGATGAACGCTGCAGTAGCTCTGCACATGCCCCCCGCCCGCATCGTGGAGCACTGTGACTCTGTGTCTCTCTGTTTCTCCAAGGTGGGGAAGCCACTGGCTGCCTCCCAGACACAAGACGGTGGGGTGCTCACAATAGGAGTCAGCTGGTGTTCCTGAGCTCCGATGCTGGCAGCGGCTGGCCCTGGGCCCTTTTAGCCCCTCCCCAGATGGGGCCCCGTCCACCTCACATCCCCCTCCCCTGGCCACAAAGGCAAAGATGCACACCTGGGGGGCTGGCAGGCAGGACTCTCTCCTCTCTTCCTCCCAGGGCCTCGGTGCACCAGTGGGGGCCTTGGTCGGGGGGCCCAAGGACTTCATCGAAGAAGCCTGGCGCCTCCGGAAAGCCCTGGGCGGGGGGATGCGCCAGGCCGGGGTGCTGGCTGCCGCTGCCCTCGTAGGACTGGCGGACTTCGAGGAGGTGCTGCCGACGGACCACAAGAACGCTCAGAGATTCGCCAAAGGTACCTGGACCGTGGCCCCCCACCCTCACTTCCTTTTGCTCCCAGAAGAGTGCCTGGGGTTCCCCCGTAGCAGGACCGAAATCCCCAGCAGGCGTACGTCCTTCTGACTCTAGCACATGTAGGTTAGGCCTGAGCCACAAGGCGTGGAAGCCAGGGAATTAGAATGCTTTACCAGGCCTCACTGGTGGAGGGTCTGGACCAAAAGCATGCAATGGATGTCAGGAATTCCTATTTCCTGCAGGATCTGGCCGAGTGGAGCCTCTAACCTGGGTCTTTACATCTGTCAATTGAGTCCTCGAAACAATCCCATCATGTCCCCACTTTACAGATGAGGGTACCGAGGCCCAGAGGTTAACTGATTTGTCCCAGGTTACACAGCTGAAAAGTAGCAGAGCCAAGTGTGTGGGACTCCAAGGGTCCCTCTTTTCCCCACTACAGTTGGGCTGCCCTCTGCCTGTCCTGGGACAACAGGGCCAGATGCTGGAGACTGGGGTGGGGTCCTGGGGTCGGGCTTCACTCACCACAGGCCCCGGGCCCAGGGCTCCAGGAGCTGGCGTCCCCCATCTGCTCCGTGGACCTCGCCGCCGTGGAGACGAACATGGTGATGGTGAGGGTGCACGGGCCACCGCCCGAGGAGCTCTGCCGGCGTCTGCAGGCCGTGAGCGCGGACGAGGTGGCCCAGACCGGCCGCGCGGTGCATGTGCTGCTGTTCCCCTGGACCGAGCGGTCGGTGCGCGCCGTGTGGCACCGCGACATCTCCGCACAGGACACCGAGCTGGTGCTGAAGAAGTGGGGGTTCGTGCTGAGGCAGCTGGGGCCCTGAGGACGGGGTGACCGGACCCTGTGCCCCGGCTGGGATCCGGGTGGGGAGTGGAGGTGTCCTGAGGGAGCAGGTGGAGGAGAGGCAACGAAACAACACCCCGGTACCCCCGAGTCTCCTCGGACCCCCGACTTCCCACGCTCAGGGTGAAGCCTTCCACCTGCGTTCATTCAGCAAGCCCTCGGTGCCTCCCGTGTCCCGGACAGGGTGCCACGAGGGCAGACAGGGGGGACCCCATCCCAGCCCCTCACCAAAGCCCAGGAAGCAGCCAGGGCAGGGCTTCTGCTCCCAGCTCACAGAAAAGGAACCTGCCCCGAGCCATTTGCTCGGAGTCCCGCAGCTGATGAGCGTGTCCCGTGCTCGGGCTGGGGGACACTGGAGCAAGGGCGACAGAGATTAGGAAGGGACAGGAGGGCTGGATGGCAGGGAGCCCTAGCTGCTGTGTTGGGGGCTGGGCTTTATCCTGTGGTCATCTACATATCTTTTCCTTTTTCAAAAATAAATTTTCCTGCTTACAAAAGAGTATGTCTTTATTGTAGATGATTTGGGATTGGATCTCGTTTTTAGCAGTTCCTGGGGTCATGTAGGCCCAGCGGCAGACAGGGAGGCCCCGACCAAACCCCTGTGCTCCCCGCTCCCCAGTGAACCGCAGGAGAAGTCCAGTTAGAGCCTCACAAACTGAGAGGACCTGCCTGCCAAGCTGCCCCTTCCAACGTGGAGGCGGGGGGGGGGGGTCCTCTTCCACCTCTGCAGACCCACAGAGAAGGAGCTCGTGTCTGCAGAAGACGTCTCTGGATGGACAGTCAGACACACAGGCGTCTCTGGATGGACGAACAGAAACAGACGTCTCTGGATGGACAGACAGACACGCAGGCGTCTCTGGATGGACGGACAGACACACACACGCACATACACAGCTGGTAACAGTGTTACTGCCCACATACTGCTTATAATTCTGTTTTATCAGTTCTGAAAAAATTTTAAGAGAGAAAAACAAGGCTTATCCGCACGGAGCATAAACTGATTTATTTAAGGACAAATTGGCATTTGATTGGCCCGGATGCCAGACCCAGCTCAGGCCTCGCCCCCGACAGCACAGGCCTCTGATGACTGACCCCAAGCAGCCCCAGCCCACCATCAGTGACAGCCGGCCTTGGGCACAGGGGGCACCAAAGTGGGGGGCACGGGATCCTGGGACAAGCTTCCTGCTGACCTTGGCATTGGCATTGAACGGTAAACACTAAAACATAAGTACGGAGGGAAGCCCTCAGTGGGACCCCCAAATGATGCCAGCCCCCAGGGCCCCAAGGAGCTTCCTGTAACCTTTGGAGTGGTAAAGGGGGGCTGGGAGAGAGTAGACCAAGGCCAGAGGGGACGCCATCCACTCTCCGCACACATCCCAGACTCCTGCACCCCAGATGGGGCTGTCTGGGGCTTCGGGTGCTGCACAGCCCCCGGGGATCCTTCTCTGCCACCTCGACTTCTCTACCTACAGGAAAATGAGCGAGCTTCACGATGGATGACCCGGGTGCCTAGCCACAGGGCGCCTGCGCCCTGGTCTGCGAGCTGAGCCCCACCCACGCCGTTTAGTAAGCCTGCGGCCCAAGCTCCAGGCCCTGGCCTCTGCCTCTCTGGGCAGCCCCGGCCCCTCCTGGCTAAGAAGCCCCTTCACCTTGCCACTGTGGCACGGCTCCCCCACCCTCACCCCTACTAGGACTTCCGCACCTGCTAGTTCAGGGCACCCACCAGGCCCCTGGAATCACAGACATTCCCCAGGGGGCTGCAGATGGGAGGATCGGCGTCCTGGAGCACCAGCCCAGCAGAAGCAGCAGATGCACCAGGACAAGGACTGAGGCCTGAGAACAGGGAGGGGGCCGAGGTGCATCCAGCCCACTCGGCTGCCCTTGCAAACCCCAGGGGACTCCCGGGCCCCCTCCTCAGTATCCTCCCCTGCAACATCTGCCCTTGAGCCAGTGGACCGAACAGAGGCCTGGGAGTCCCACCAGATGTCAGGGCATCTGGCTCTGCCATGTGCTCTGGGATGGTCTGGGCCTCAGACTCCCCTTCTGTAAAATGGGTGACTGGTAACTAATGTGAAGGGAGACTGGAGGACTGGACAAGCAGATGAGCAGGTGATACTCAGCTCGGAGCCTAACTCCGTGGGTGTTTAACAGATACCAGATACTTCTCTCTCAAACTCCCTCCTCCCCAGGAGAGAGGGTAGCTCCTCCACCTGACCCAGGGCCCTAGGAGCGAGGGCAGCATGGCACACCAGGGCTGATGGGAGAGGGCGAGGGCAGGCTATGCCCTCGAGAAGCAAGGGGACCCGCTGAGCACCAGGAGTCTGCAGCACCCCACCCCGACCCCACTAACATCCCCTTGGGCCACTTGTTAACTCTTCCTGGGACTCCCTTTTCTCATTCCCAAGAGAAAGCCAAACCAATTAGTCCCTAAAGGGCATAAACCAGGCAGAGGAGCTCCCCAAACATCCAGCTTTGCCAAGCAAGAGGAGCCTGGATCCTTGGCTCTGCCCCCAACCCCTGCCCCTGCAGGGGCCCCCTCCCAGCCAGAACTCCAGCCAGGCCTGTGGGTGCAAAGGGGAAACTGGGCTCCTCTGGGACTCAGATGACCACAGAGTGGGGGGCCCCCTGCTGCCGGCTCAGCCTGCGGGTTCGGGCGTGCTGTGAGCAGGAGGAGGCCACAGAGAGCCTCTGAGGCGCAGGAGCCCCAGGCCAGGGCTAGAGCCCAGCCGGAGCAGACACGGATGTCCCGCATGTGCTGGGGCCACTGGCGGCCGGTCTCGGCGAAGGCCAGGTGTGAGCAGTGGATGTAGATGCTGACCCCCACCAGGGTCAGGGCACCTGGGGGAGGGGGGCAGGGGGGCCACTCGCTGTGTCTACCTGCTGGGGGCAACTGCCTAACCAGGTCCTGGCCGAGGCAGTCCTGCAGACCAGGAGCCCCTACCCGCTGGCCTTTGGGGGAAATGGAGGCTCTGATTCAGTTCCCAAACCCCCAGACCTCACCCCACAAAACCCCCCTTATAAACAGAGCCACCTACACCCTCAGCAACAGTCCCCACTCACATAACTGCCCCTGCATACACAGCACCCTCCCGTATCCCCCAGTGTCCCCGACACACACACACACACACACACACACACACACACACACACACACACACACA